TACATAATAGTAATGCTAGAATTACATAGCATTTGTTGATCCTTACAGTTCGAATTTTTCCCTTGTTGGTAAATTAAGGACCATGAATAGTTCCTGCCGGAATCTTTCAAACAGAAATGGAAATAACAGTCTAGTAAAAAAAGTTATAAGAAAAAAGCTCATCTCATAGGTGGAAAATTACTTGAGATTCCCATTGCCACTTCTTGTATTGATCTCCATGCCACTCTCTATTTTTATGCTACATCTGAATATATAGTGGTATATTCAATGTACATTACAATAGTTTTTTAAGTAATATTACATGGTGCGAGAAAACAAAATGTAGTACATTACATACAAAGTCCCAGATACAATTGACAATTTAAACAAATACAAAAAAAAAATTTTGAGAAAATTGTATGTAATAGTTCATATGTCGCAAATGGAAAAGAAAATTCAGGATGTCTTTTACCTACAACATGACGTCTAGAAGATAGCAACCTATTCATCAGAGGTACTACGTACCTTTACTGTTTCTGTAAATGACAATCTATGGCTCCCTCTAATCATAATTTTCCATGGACAACAACTTTGTTTTGTTTCATCTTCTTTATTGCTTTTACCTAGTTACATTTATGGTTTTACCAACTCCGCTGGCGTATCCTAATATTTGCAAAGAAATCATCATTCTGCTATTTGGCCAGATCTTTTCTTTATTTTTAATAAAGAATTTCATGTACTCTCACATTTGGCAGGTCCAATTCAAACTGAAATTGTTGGTACGTAGTCTTCAGAATCTGAAGATGCTGTCATTTACTACAAATGATCCAAGTGGTTCATCCCTGCAATCCATGCTTAACACCTCTTCTCAAAGAGTTCCATTTAACTTAAACAATCTTTAGGAAGTCGTCCTCCGTATATAGGACATAAGGTACCAAATCTTGAAGAATTATACCTTGGTGTAAATAATCTGAATGGATTCATCCTAGATTCAATCTCAAACTTGATAAAACTAACCAATTTAAGATTGGACAACAATCAGTTTGCTGGTTTGGTTCCAACATCACTAGGGGAATTAAGATCCCTTGAGAGTCTCATTCTTGGTGGAATCTCTTTCACCTCTGACTCAGAAATGAGCTTCCTTTTGTCTTTGACAAATTGTAGAAGTCCAACTGTTTTGTTGGTATCAATTAATCTACTGAAAGCTGCCCCTCCCCAAGCCATTGGAAATTTCCCTAGTTCTCTTAAAAGGACACATGCAGATTATAGCAGGATTGCAGGAAACTTCCAAGTGCATTTTTCCATAGACATGTAGAAGAATAATCTTTCAAGTAATAAATTGGAGGCTTAGAGAACATGATCAGTACATTGAATTCCAAGGGTCTATTCCCAAGACATTGAGATATATGGTAAGCTTGGAAATATTAGACCTATCCCATCATAATCTGACCTGGGGTGATCTCTGTAGTATCAGAATCACTCCAACATGCAGTTGAAACAGTTTTACGCGTAATTCAAATCATGGGTGGATATGGGGGTGGTGCGGACAATCCAGGCCCTAAGATTTTAATAAATTTTTTCACCAATGTCCTTGTCAAAATTAGACTTTGCTACCCGAAAACATAAGGCATATATATATATATAGATATATATATATATATCCCCTCAATTGTAGATCTTTATTAGTCTTGCGCACCTTAAATAACTTCTCGTTGCACCAGTCATTCAATCACTTAGGAGGGGAAATTCCAGAGGATGGTTCTTCAATAAATTTGAGGAATGATTCGTTTGTGCCACATGAAGCACGTCTTAGCGGTGCTGCTAATTTGCAATTCCCTACTTGCATATGTTTTGTTATCGAGATATTATTAACTCTTTGGCTTTTGCTATGGTTATCATTCTGCCGGTATCATGCTATGAACTTCAACATTGCAACCAGTGGCTTCAATGAAGGCAACTTGCTTAAAACTGGGAGCTGTGGCTCAGCTTAGAAATGCACTATTTCTCAATGATGTGACTGTCTTGGTGATTACAGGCTTTGAATTTGCAGCCAAAAGTAGCCTTCAAAACTGGGACGAGGGGCTGAGCGCAGGGGGATCAGCAGGGGTAGCCGCCTCCCAAGTTTTAACAAAATTTTGTTACAACCCTAGAAATTTTTAATAATTTTCATTTAGAACCACACTTTCCAGGCACCCAACGCCAAACCAAACTAAATTTAGACTGCGATTTAGTTACTTGATCTATTAAAGTTAACTTCTTATTAAATGTTTTATTATTATATTCTCAAAAATTCTATCTATTGTTTTCAAAAACATCACTTTATCAACAATTATAGCTAATTGAATATTTCTTTCTTTCTTTCTTTTTTTTTGGGTCCAGGTGGGAGGACTCATGTTCGAATCTCACTGCCAACTTGTTAATTCCTTCCGGTCAATTCAAGCAAATAAATTTGATTATTCTTAAAGCTAAGAGAAATAGAGACACTGAACAGTACAATTAACTAGAAAAATCTTCGGGTCAATTTCTTATTATCAAGCAAATTCAATATTTGAAAGCAATTCTCATTCACTCGATAACAGCCTTGAAACAAAGAATACAAAATTTATTCCAAACAAATGTTCAAAAGTTTAAACTATTTAACTTGACTTATTTCTCCTAGTAAATTACGGATTGGAAATAACTAAAAACATATATGCAATCTGTAACGCCCCGAGCCCGCACGTGCCCGCCACATGACATTCGCCGTACTCTCAAGTCCCACTCAAGAATACAAGGCTACATTAACTAGTTTAATTTTAAAAGTACTAAATAATTTAACTAAATAAAGTGCGGTACAAACCACGTATAAGAGAAAGTCTCCAAATGTTCGAGACGTTCATACATTTATTCTTTGATTGAAACAGCGGAAATGAAAGTAGATAAAACTAGCAACTAGAAGTAGCTAGCTTGTCAACTTCTTTTCATCTAAAACTAATAAAAGTCATCCTCAGGGTCTTCTACGTAAACCAATTCATACTCGTCGGAACCTGTAAAATAGTAAGAAGTGGGTTGAGCGACACCTCGCTCAGTAGATAATATTTACCCCTCTGTTGGACCGTGCACTCTTAACTTTATAGGTACATATATAGATAAAATCAAATCGTTGTACCTTGTTCACGTCTAAATCAGAAAGGCAACGTTGTTTATAAAACAATCAGTAGTAAATAATGGCAAGCAATTTAAAAGCATCTTGTTGGTAATTGTACATGAGAAATCGTAATGTCGTAAATCACTTTATAACAATTCATCAGTCTCTTCATATCCATTCATGAATCATCTCTTAAAACGTTGCATATCAGTACATAGATCATTTCAAATCAGTTCATAAATTGTTCCATATCAACTCATAAATCATTTCATCTTAGCTCATAACAAGTACATGCAATGACCGATTACTGAGTACTCAGCCTAGAGATTTTACCCCTTCTAGGTGGGCGACCAATAGGTTTCATGACTACCGATTGGTCTCATTTCATACATGGGTCAATCGGCCGGACTTTATATCGGGCTACCCTGACCTTGTCAATCGGCTGGGCTCTATACCAGGCTACCATGACTTTATCCATCGGTCAATCGACTGGGTTTTATACCAGGCTACCATGACCGTTATACAGGACTATAGTCCCTACCGTCTATCCCATGACTGTTTTGAGCTTTACTCTTCAAAAATTCATTCCACACACCACATATATAAATCTTTGAGTACATAAAAGATTCAACTCCTTTGGTATATAATAACATATCAAAACATTTCAAATAAGTCACATGGTCCTTTTTGTATAGTAAAATATAACTTTCATAAATATCCAAGTAAAGCATTTAATCAGACACCTTTCGAGTCAACACAACAAAATAGGATTGAAAACAAGAATTTCATTTTGCATATTTGAAATCTCAGAAGGGTAAGTACCACCTACCTCTGTTTGGCTGCTCGAGTGCAACTACCTTAGATCCTTGTACTGTACGTCTGTACCTATCAAATGCATAGGTTCCCTTTTTAGTTGCTATTTCCTATAGATGCATAAGTATACAACCTCTAAGTAAGTAAAAGATAAAGCTTCCTAATTTAAAAGAAAATAATTATTCGTAACCATATTTATTATCCTGACCACTATCTCACTATGTTTATTTGTAATTTATAATTATTCATTATTATTATTATCACCCTCGTCGTCACTAATAAATCTTATTACCATATATATATATATATATATATATATATATATATTAGTTACTATTAGTTTTCCCTTTATTTTCATTTCTATGCGCGTGCAGGTGTTATTATTATTTATGTATACATGTACCTATATATGATATCTATATGTATATTGACTTATTATCATTATTATTGTCTTAATTTATTTCCCTCGTATTATATTTTTATCTCCGTTTATATCCTTAATTCATTACCTTCCATGTCCATATTATCACTATTCCTGCTATCATTGTTTTACTAATTGTTATTTACTATTATTATTATTATTATTATTATTATTATTATTATTATTATTATCATTTTAAGCGTTTCGTTTAACAACTTAGAATTTATCTTACTTAATCCATTAAGTGAAATTTTAAATAACTAACCCTTCACTTCTCACAATTGCTTTAAATTGGGTCTTGAGTTTTTTTTTTTTCTATTCACGCTACACTATAAAAATGAACTAGTTATATAAGAAATTTTTTATTAAGCACTTACTAAATTTTATACTATAGTTTGGCCAAATTTAAGTTGCTTCCCTTTTTATTTATTAATTATTAATTATTTATTTATTTATTCGTTATCATTATTTTATTATTTTATTATTTATTTATTTATTTATTTATTTATTTTATTGGATGGGACCCATGGTTAGACTTGGCCAACCATGTTTGACCATGGTCGCCAGAGAGTCTGGCGACCCGAGACCTCAATTATTTTGCTCTATTGTCGGCAGCACTTGCTGGCGACATCCTTTTTTTTTTTTTTTTTGTCTTTCGGCCAACCCTTGGATTTCTTCCTGTGAACAGAGCAGCGGCGGGCGCCAGAGAGTCTCTGATGGTATATCCAAACACATCTCTGATGAATTTCGACCACAATATGCTCTATTCTGCTCCATATCTTCTCACATCAAACGCAAATATATGCAAATAATAGATATATCATGAGTCCTAGAAACTTACGTGTTGTCAACTTGCCAGTTAACATTGACAGGACCTGCTTGGTTTTTCATCTTGTGGTAATATTATGTCTCCTTAGGACTTCCATAGCACGAACCAAGAACATCACAACTGACCAATCTGCACTTCGTGCCTTAAAATCCCATGTTACATTTGATCCATCAGATGTGTTGTCAAGAAGCTGGATAAACCAAATCCCAGTGTGCAACTGGACTGGAGTGAAATGCTCGTCTCTCCACCAAAGAGTAGTGGCCTTGAACATTTCTCATCTGGGCCTTCAAGGTAACATTCCTCCACAAGTCGCAAACCTCTCTTTTCTCAATTCAATCGACATCAGTGGCAATGATTTCCAAGGCAACTTGCCTGAGGAGCTGGTACATCTGCAGAGACTCAGTTATATCAATTTCAGCTTCAACAAGTTCAGTGGAGGGGTTCCTTCATGGCTTGGTTTTCTGCCTAATCTTCAATACTTATATTTGGCAAATAACAGTTTCACAGGTATTCTTCCAAGTTCCCTGTTCAACGCTTCCAAATTGGAGGACATGAGAATTACTTACAATCAATTGGAAGGTATTATAGCTGAAGAAATTGGTAATCTTGGCAATTTGAAGATCTTAGATTTGCAAAATAACGAGCTTATGGGGTCTATACCCCGGAACCTTTTCAATATTTCGTCGTTGCAAGTAATTTCTTTGAGCGACAACAGCTTAAGCGGTACTCTTCCCATGAATATTTGCACTAAGCTTCCAAAGCTTCAAGGAATTTATCTACCACGCAACCTATTATCAGGCCAGATTCATTCACGATTCAAGAATTGCACGGAGCTTCAAATTCTCTCACTGTCCATCAATAATTTCAGTGGACAAATACCAAGAGAGGTTGGAAACTTGACAATGCTAAGCGTATTGAGTTGTGGATATAACATGTTTGAAGGTACGTGTCTTCATGAGAGTCAGCTGCGTTTTATTAACTCATTCTGAATGTATATAAGCTCGCAATGTCCATAGTTTCTCTTGAAGTTTAACTCAAACAAGTATTATGCATTGTCAAAAAGAGATAATAACTGTTGGGGCGGGGTATCAGCCATACTTTTTCCAATATATCTAGCCTTTCATGCTTGCGATTTCATAAGCATTGAATCATGCAGAAAACGTTCCTGGTTCCATAGTTGTTGCCATGATGGTATAATGACCTCCTTTTTGGCTTTTTCCTCCATGGAAGAATATTACTGAGTTACGCTCGAGACAAACACTCAGTTGCAGCCCGCATTTGCTTAAACTAATTTTTGTGTATCCTCAAATTTTGGCAGGCCCAGTTCCAGCAGAAATTGGCAATCTTCAGAAATTACAGGCTTTGGACTTCACTACGAATTTCTTAAGTGGTCCCATTCCCAAATCTTTATTTAACATGTCAACCTTGACAAGTATCTCATTTACTCTGAATAACCTTTCAGGGAGTATTCCACCTAATATAGGCCAACAGCTGCCGAACCTTGAAGAGTTATTGCTTGGAGTTAATAAACTAAGTGGAGTTATTCTTGACTCGATCTCAAATCTTACAAAATTAAGTCAGTTGGAACTCGGACAGAACCAATTTACTGGTTCAATTCCTACATCACTTGGCAGTTTGAGGTTCCTTGAGTATCTTAGTATTCTTCAAAACCATTTCACTTCTGATTCTCCTTCAGAATTCAGCTTTCTTACATCTTTGACAAATTGCAGGAATTTAAGGGTTCTAAGCATATCAGAAAACCCCTTAAGTGGGGAACTTCCTCCTACCATAGGCAATTTTAGTAGCTCTTTTCAAAACTTTTATGCAACATTATGTGGAATTAAGGGCAATATTCCACATGAAATTGGTAACCTTAGCAGTCTGTTACTGTTGAATCTTGATAACAACAGCTTGACTGGACCACTTCCAGATACACTCAAAGGGTTATCAAATCTTCAAGGATTAGATCTTCAAGATAACAGAATATCAGGGTCCATTCCGAACCATCTGTGCACTTTGAGGCATTTAGCTATAGTACAGTTGAGCAGAAATCAATTCAGTGGTCAGGTGCCAGATTGCTTTGGAAATATAACTTCTCTAAGAGAACTTTATTTGCACTCCAACAGACTGAACTCCACATTCCCAGCAAGCCTTGGAAGGCTGAAAGACTTGTTATATTTAGAGATCAGCTCAAACTCTTTCATTGGTGATATACCACCCGAAGTTGGGAATCTGAAGGCTGCATTAGCCATTGCCTTGGCAGAGAACGAATTTTCAGGTAACATTCCAACAACACTAGGAGGTCTCCAGAACTTGATCAGTCTCTCATTGGCACATAATGAATTACAAGGTCCTATCCCAGAGACATTCAGCAACCTGTTAAGTTTGCAATTATTAGATCTATCTAATAACAACCTCACAGGCGAAATACCTACATCATTGGAATCGCTTTTGCAGTTAAAACATTTCAATGTGTCATTCAATGAGCTACAGGGAAGGATTCCATTAAATGGTTCTTTCGCCAACTTCACATATGAATCTTTTATGTCAAACAAAGCATTATGTGGTGGTCCTCCTTCATTGCACTTCCCTCCTTGCACCGTCCATTCACGACGTGGATCAAAGAAGAAAAGGTTGCGTCTAGTGGTATACACTCTGATACCATCAGCATTGATGATTATCCTCATCACCATTTTGTTGGCTATCTTGAAGAAGAGGAGCAAAAGGGCAAATATCTCTGGAGTGGAGTTATTCCCCACGATTATGCATGAAAGGGTATCTTACCGTGAACTCCAGCAGGCAACTAATGACTTCAGCGAAAGCAATTTGATTGCAATGGGGGGTTATGGTTCAGTTTACAAAGGGGTTCTGGAGGATGGGGCACCATTCGCAGTAAAGGTTTTCAATTTGCAGTTAGAAGGAGGATTCAAAAGTTTTGACACAGAATGTGAAGTTCTTCGCAATCTTCGGCACAGAAATCTTGTTAAAGTCATCAGTAGCTGCTCTAACCCAGATTTCAAAGCTTTAATCTTAGAGTATATGCCCAATGGGAGCCTAGAGGAATGGTTGTATTCTCACGACTGTTTCTTAGATTTCTTGCAAAGACTAGATATAATGATCGATGTAGCTTCTGCATTGGATTATCTGCATCATGGTTATTCATCTCCAGTTGTGCATTGTGATCTAAAGCCTAGCAATGTTTTGCTAGATGAGGATATGACAGGTCACCTGGGCGACTTTGGAATTTCCAAGTTACTTGGTGGAGGTGAAATTACAGCACAAACAAAGACACTCGCAACAATTGGCTATATTGCACCAGGTAACTAAAACTTCTGCCAATAGAACTTAGACTTATGCACCTTTACTATCCTAATCTGGAAGTTCTTGCTCTTATTGTAGTTCTGTTCATGTCCCTAAGTCTTAACTGCTCTGGTTGACAAAGATGATACGACTTCGATTTTTTTTTTTTTTTAATGTAGAGTATGGATTTGAGGGTGTAGTATCCACAAGGTGTGATCTCTACAGCTTTGGTATTCTTTTGATGGAAACCTTTACAAGAAAGAGGCCAACTGATGAAATGTTTGGCGAAGATTGCGGATTGAAGGACTGGGTGATGGATGCGCTACAAAATTCAGCAAACCATTTCATTGATAGCAACCTAATTACTGTGACGGACGAAAATTCAAACAAAAAGGTTCAATGTGCATTATCGGTCATGGAATTGGCCTTGAGGTGCAGTGCTGAATCACCAGAGCAGCGCATAGACGCAAGAGGTGCTTTAAATGAACTCCGAAAAATAAAAGTTGTCTTTCTTGCAGATTGAATTTAAGAACAAATGGACACAAACAACAATCACAAGTAATCAGATTTTTTGGGTGGGTGTAATATTTTCATCTGGATGCATCCTTAGTGGTACAACTTGTCGAACCATTAGGAAGTAGGCAAGTAGCATACCCTCTTTGGTTCACACATGCTTCTGTAAGTATTAGATTGCAGCATGCTCGGACAAGCAAGTGTTCACACAGCACTAAATTGCTGCCACCGTATTGTTGCTATGAGCAGGGTATACGTATCACATGTTCTTTGCCCTTTTGGTGTCCAGAAAAATAAAAACAGGATTATAATCATGAGATCATGTAAAACAACCCGCTAACTGAAGAGACCTCCGAGGCAACTATTTCATATGCCGAAGGTTCTAACCTCTCACAGCGTGACTTCAGTCTCGAAGGACAAGTTGACAACATCAAGTCGAGGAATTAATTTGCACGACCGTCAGGCCTTAAAGAATCCCAAAGAACTATTGCTACAAAATGCATCCTTAACATGCAAAAACACTAAATGGCCAAGAAAAGTACGAGTAGTCAATTCCTCCCAAATTGCTAACTTTGTTCCATAATTTACTCGAGGATTTTGTACAAGTTACATATTCAGTCTTTGCCTAAAACCTATAAGCTGCTATGAGCAACTTATACAGCTTCTGCTTCCACATACATCTAATCGTCAATGGCAAGATGTTTTTACACTGACCAAGTACACAGTAGTACTTGAAATGTTACAACACAACTGTTCTTTTATGAACTGAAGGGCAATCAAAATTTCACCGAGCAAGAACCACAGCCATACGTTTCTATCTATGCTTGAATCCTGCTCATAAGTCTCATCGAAAGTGACCGGGCTTCAATTCATTAGCTGCAGGGGCGTCAATTTTGGCAAAGGCAGAAACGATTACAAAGTTCCCCTTTTGCAGGTATCACAGGCATTTCTATCTATGGCTGGAGTCCCGCTCATAAGTGTGTCAGAATGTGACGGGCTTCAATTCATTAGCTGCACGGGCAACAATTTTGGCAAGGCGGAAGGATTACAAGTTTTCCGTTTGCAGGTACCACAGGCATTTTGGTGTCTAGTAGCTCCACAAACTACCAACACTCTCATGGCACCAGTCCCCCAGCCAAAAATAGGAAATATCCAGAGGCATCGAGTTCAGGTGTAAGCATCTCTGCCTGCGTATGGTATAGCTTCGAACTTGAATGTACTCAGATATAAATAGAATTCACTATATTACATGGAGGGAAAGCAAACAATTGAAATGCGTGGCCCCATCCACATTAAAGAAAACTTGGACATTGTTCCTTTCCAAATGTTCACAAGCAGACAGCTAAGTGTATTACAACAGAAGACGCTGTTATAATTGCTTTAGCACTCAGTAAAGCTGGTCATGCATAGGCACTTTTCAGACCAAGGATTTAAGTCTGACCTACCTTGACAACCCTGTTAGACACATCTATCAAAAAACTAGAAATAAAATGGAAAGAGCTCAGATACAACATCCACTTATAAAGCCTTGGCCCAAGAAAACACAGCTACCAACGTATAAATGTTCAAGTGAATTCGTCTGTGGGGATGCAAGCATAACTACAAAAGGAACATCAACACTTCCCCATTCTTGTAGTTGTTTCAAAGACATGACCATTAAAATCCAAGGAGCAGTGCAATAAAGCATGCCTGGACTCTCATCCGTAATCACACAGTATTCACACACTAAAACATAAGACTGCCAAACACAAGCGAAAGAAACAAAGTAACACCTATGTTGCAAACATTCAGATTCATTAACAGATCCAGTACAAATTAAAGGCCACAAGTCAGATTATGGAAGATAAGGTGAGTTAGAGAATGTATTGAATACGCAAGGCATAGCCAATGATGCAAAGTAAAAGAACAAAAAGTCAGGATTGACATCTATCCATTAAAATTTTCTCAATAAAAATAAGGTTTTGAACTATTAACACCAGTCGTCAAAACGAGCATGCTCCAACAGCATGTGGCACCAAAGCAATTCACATTAGATATCATCAAGTCAAGTCACAAAGGAATATTCATCTACTTCATGTGAACTTATGCAGACACAATAAAAACGTCACCATAAATATGTGCATTTGTATAAGAACAACACATTCTTCACCTAACTTTCACATTTCCAATTCCCACTGCTCTAAAAACTAATCAGGAAGGAGCCCCTTTTGTATTATCCAACAAAAAACACTTAACTAAATCATAATTTTCCTCGGCAAAGAGGGTCACACATAGTTATATCTGATCTTAACAAAATGCTAGTAAGAAAGAAACACCAAAATTTATAACCAAAGAAAAAGATACTAGAGACAGTGTACTACATTTAGCCCCTTTTAGTTTCCCAAATATATGTAACCCTTTTGACGAAGAGGTCAAACAAAACAGCCACCTACCATCATGACATTAGCAGAGCTTATTGAAAGATATACACAAGTGACCTTTCAGCCTAGTTGAATTAATGTATTGTGGTTGTTATTAAAAAATTAAAACACAATTAAAAAAAAAAACTCAAAAAGCAGATTAATGAGAACCTCCTAAATTCCTCCTTTATACCATCTCTCTCTTCCTCTTATTTTCCTAAAATAGATCCAAAGAAACATTATGAACTGCTGATACAAGCTCAACAAAAGGAGATCAGAGCTAGAGATGACTGCAAAATAAGAGTGGAAAACAAACTGTTGGTTATACCAGATGGGATGAAGAATGAGAGCAAGTTGATGGAAACCAGTGGTCAGCTGAGGATAACAAAAGGAAAATGATATAAGAATGGAACACATGCTGGTGGTAGTAGGACACGCAACAGAACATAATAAAGATGTGGCAGGTTGGATAAATTTACTGGCAGCGTGACAGAGAAGCAAAATTAGTGGAAGCTGAGATCTTTTATGTGGATCAGATACCTTGATGCCACTATCAAGGTTGACGAGGTATTAGTGGCTCTCAATACAAGAGAGAAAAGAAAGGTGCTGATAGTTGTGAATGGGGACTTTGGAATGGCAGCAATGGAAAGGTCAGGAAAGTGGTAGAGGAAGGGCAATAATAAAACCAATTGACAGTGACAGGCAGGTAGGAATATATAAGATTTGCTGGACTGTTGGATCATATGTTGCTACAAGTCTTATCAAAAGTTTTCTATCAAGTCAAAACAACGATTATTGACGAAATTTTAAACCTTCGTTTTAACTCCCTAGTCAACAGCCATTCTGTTGACGCATCCAATTTAGGTGTAGAAAGGACACTGAGATATGCGTATTCAATTAATAATAACTTGTTTCACAGATGGAGTAGGAAATGGTAGTCAAGGAAGAGAAAAGAAGTAGCACTGGCAAATGCAATCTCAACATAGTTGCAAAAGCCAACATCTACCACATCACAAAAACTTAGGCATTTAGTGTTAAGGGGAAGCAGATTAATAACAGATTAACGACTCAATTTCATATCAAATTTAACAGTTCAAAAAGAGCACCAAAACAAAAGAAAAAGAATAAGATAAAATGATATGAAGAAGCACAAATCTCAGCTTTTTTTTAATTTCAATAACAGACAATAAAAATACCAGTAACAACTATAATTATATTAGAGAAGAACACTACTACAAGAAACATTCCACAATCCAGTAAAGTCACATAATACAGCAACTTCTTCAAGTAAAACCATGAACTAGCCTAACTCTAGCAAATATCAAGTAATGGCCACATTTCCACAAGGAGCAGATAGAGTGAAGCAGCAACAGATGTACAGCAGTCCATTTATCAACCAAAGATATCATTGTCCGCAATCACTGAAATCACCACAACCATATAAAGCATTTGCGCCCAAGCTCTCAAACACCTGAACAGATACCCATGCATCAACTCAATCCATTAATAGAATTTCAACATAAACAAGTTTGCAGACATAATCTACAAAAAAAGGAAAAAACATAGCACATGTGCAAATGAACTTATATATCCACAAAGGTTAGAGAGAAGACATCAACAGAAGTAAAGGTGAGATTCAAGGCTCATTTTCAACACTTAAAATACACTACAAGCAGCTCCTTTGAAATTGTTAAAGAAGTTAATCTTATAAAATCGTTGAAATCTAAAAAACTCTCTATGTTTTGAAAAGCTCAAGGCTATATAAAAAAAAGCAACCCAATGCCTGCTTTCAAAATTAGATCTCGTTCCCCAAAAAAATGTGCTTATACCTTATTATGAGCTGTTGACAAAAGGCCCCTTGCAAATTAAAAATGAGTTTTTCTTAGTACAGGGCTTGTTTGTGCAAAGAAAATATAATTTCATGTGAGGCATATTCACTCACCTTGCCAGACATGGGACTCCAACAAGGGAAAACTACATGCAAACAGCAAGACAGTCAGCACATAAAATGACCAATCTCAAAGCTCAAAAAGGTGGAGCAGAATGAAAATCAAAACTACTTCACAAGTAATTTGATGATTTTTTTTATTGCAATTAAACTACAAAGACATGCCGATAATAACTGAAAAATAGAGTGAGCTCATTCTTCAACAAGTCAAAATATCACGTGCTGTCCAAACTAATGACGGAAGGTTATGAAAGAAATAACTTAGATTCCCTAGAAAGAATTGGAATGCAAGTCACTAATCTTCAACCACATGGAGATTCCAAAAGCAGCTACAAGCTTTACTTTTGCAACCTAAACAATCAACTATAGGTAAGGCAGGAGGGTAGTTGTTGTGCCCTGCTAAGCACAGGCAAAGCAGGAGTATTTCGTGAACTAATAAAATAACAGTTACATCATACATGCAAAAGTACTAGCACAAGCAATCACTCAAACATGCATAAAAAAGAGATGGGGAAAAATCTTAGAAAGACGGGAGAAAAGCTCAAAAGTCCCCAAAAAACCAGTCCAGACGTTACATGATCGAATTCAAGGTGACCCAGATAGTACCACATTTCAAATCTAAATGACCCGTAATCAATCATAATAAGCCATGGGATCAGTTAAACAGGAAAGCTTAAAAGATGTAGCTGAGGAATAGAAACCAACAAGAAGCATGAAGCAACACAATAAAACAAGAAGCACCAAATAAAGAACAAAACACACGTGAAAAGGAAAGGAACAAGTGCAACACCAAACACTGGAGGAAAAGCAAAGACAGAGGAAAACTACAAAACATATGCTCAATGATTATCCTTCATAACAAACTACAACACTAAGGGAAAACAGCAAACACTTAGCAAAGACGAATAACTAAATGAAACCAATAAAC